CCCTCTCTCTCTCTCTCTGCCACCTTTCCTCCCCTTTGGGAATCCCCATCGGATCGCCGGCGCGCCCCCTTCCTCGCAGCCTTGCCCGGAAAGATGTCTCTGGCCATGGACGAGGAAGACTACGCCAAGCTGGTGATGGAGTCGGGGCCCGAGTGGCTGCGCGGGGAGGTCAAGCGGCTCTTCCAGGAGCTGGGCGAAACCACCCGCGAGAAGATCCAGGCGGCCGAGTACGGGCTGGCGGTGCTGGAGGAGAAGCAGCAGCTCAAGCAGCAGTACGAGGAGCTGGAGCTGGAGTACGAGACCATCCGGGCGGAGATGGAGCAGCTGAAGGAGGTGAGGGCGACGGGGCGCGGGCGGGCGGGCGAGGCTGGCATGGCGACGCCCGGCATCGGCTGCGTGGTAGCCGTGGTGGTTTTGTTTTTTTTAATGGGCAAGGGGGTAAGAAGTGAGGAGAGAGATGCGGAGCATCTTCATCTGCTGGGGTAAATGGGGGAGGGGAAGGAATCGTGGGCTAGTGGTTAGAGCGCAAGCGCTTTGCTGGTTATGGGACCCAGTTTGGGGGGGGGGATCAGGGACGCACTTCATTCTCACGCCCGCTTTCAGGCAGGGAACTCCCCGCTTCTGCACAGCTGCAACAAAACAAGGGCCGTGTGCACGTGTGCGCGTGTTGGCGGTGTGACGGGACGCGCGCACGGGTGCTTCTCGGCGGCGGCCGAAAGCAGGTGGGCAGTCCCGCAGATGGTGTAACTTCTCCTCACCGAGGGCTTGTTGAGGATGTCCTCGATGCTGAAGGGCGTCAAGGGCTTGTTGGAGTTGGCCGGCGGAGGCAAGTGGTCCAGGGGGCTTCGCCGCCGCTCCTCCACCGAGGCCGCTTTGCCGTCGTCTTTGGAAGTCATGCTTGGCGGGCGTTGGGGATTCCTTCGCCTTCCCCACCACCGCAGCACCCCCTTGCTCGCTCGCTCGCTCGCTCCCCTGCGCGCCCCCTCCCTCTCTCCCTCTCTCTCTCTCTGCGGGCGCCGAGCCGCGCAGCCCCCTTAAAGGAGCAGCTCGGCCATGCTGTTAATGCACCGTGTCCTTCCTGTGACATCTGCGGTCTCTTCTTGCGCCGCCGTGAAATGTGCCAGAGCGAGAGAGGATACCTTGAGATTAATACTCTTGGGCTCGGGTGACAGCCTGCCCTCCCGGGTGGAGACATTTGTCTTTTTCCCCTTGCCGAGGTCTGTCGAGAAAAGATGCTGTGCTGGCCTCCCTCAGAAATTCAGGGGCAGCTGGTGAGCCCTGAGGGGAGGAGGGTGACTCACCCCAACATTTCAGGGTCGTTCTCCCCTCTTCATCCCCAGTCATAAGTAGGCTGTTTCCGACAGAATTAGGCACATCTTTCTGACTGGAATTATTTCTCCCTATGATAACTGACAGCTGTCTTCAGAGGCAGAATGGCACTGCTGTATTTTGGTAAGCCTGGATTTGCAGGATTTGGCCATGTGGTGTAACCTAGTGCAGAAATGAGCCAGAATGTTAAAATGGAAAATCCTAATTAACAGTTCATTTGAATGTGGGGCGTGTTTTTTTGACCATTTTAATATTTGACAAACCTTATCTGACAAAAGCTGCACCATTAATATTCGAAATGTGAACCTTATGTGTATTTAAAAGCAAACAGAATCAAATAGACAAAGATCAGTAGCAAACGGTCATCCTTCCCAGTGCTGCCCAAATGCCCGTCTTGGTCGCTTCTTATACTGGGGCCTATGAATCTGAAATACTGTTCATCCCTTTTCAAGGCGAATCTGCAGGATGGAATGGCAAGATGTGCAAATACAGGCCAGCTAGTTTCCTGCCCCTGCCATACTAAATGGTGAATTAGGCATTGGAAGCCATGTCTCCTGTTTGTGGCTTATAGAGGGCAACCAGACAGAAAGCAGGCTTGAGAGATATAAAGAACCTTTGTGCTTCTGTTGCGGCATTACTTGACTGAAACTTGCTAGCCATGGGGAAATAGTGCAGGCCTAACTCAAATGTCTCTTGAAGAAAGCAAAACTCAACTTTCATTTAATTAAATAATGCAGATCCATGTTTAGTAATGGAAACAGGTTCTGTTCTAATATGTATATATAAATAATGTTTTCAGGAAAGCATCATTAATTACTTTCAGACCTCATTTGTATCTGGAAATGTACGTAGGTGAATTTAAGGGTACGGCTAGAAATGCTGCTGTCAGCAGGGAAAATCCTTACACAAGAGTGTGGATTTTTGCTTTGCTTTGTTTTATTGCTCCTGTTCTTTGTGCTCTGTTAATGGAACATCTGTACCCCTTAGCAGATGTTAAACCTTTCTTGAGCTTGGTGGTAGTTGTGATTGAGATATGATCAGATGTGAAATGTAGTATCTATTTCAGAACTTGTTGCTCCATCCTTTGACATCTGGAATTGATGTATCTTATGGCAGGGATTGGGGGGAGGGGGAGATCTGTGCTTATATTCTCAATTTGTACAAGAAAGAGAGCTCTTGTATAGAATTTTTTTTTTGTCTGTGCAGTATTTTAAAAAAAACACCCTGAGTGTTCATTCAGTATGGGATAGGCTGGGGAAGATTATAGTTCTTAGAACTTTTTGATGTTAGAAAGAAATATGGAACTCATTAAGAACTTACAAAATCTCTAACAGATGTATATTGAACAGCCTTTCTTTGTTTGATGCTTGTTTTTGTTAAGATTGTTTGGAAGACTTTCAGTCTCTTCCTGTGTAGGTTTAATTAGGAGTAAGTTCAGATGTGCTTGGCTTAGCCCTGAAGAATGTTAGGTTTTGAGCTAGTCTTTATTAGACAGTGGTACTGTCCATTGGCAGTTACTGAAGGTATGAGATACTAAATGTTTGTATTTAGGTTTCCGGAGCCAATTTGGGCAACAGTATTTAGGCCCTGGTCCTGTCACACTCAGGGCACTATCAGGCAGTATGGGGCATGCAGTGGGTCCTAAGGGATGAATGGCCATAAGGTCTGATAAAGGTCATGGAGCAACACATGATCATTCTGTAAGTGGTGAAATGTTATATTCTGAAAATGGGTGCTTGTGGAACCTGATGTTTCTGTTGACTGAATCTGGTGTGACTAAGGTCTGTACTTTGCCTAGTCAAATGCTAATTCTAAAACAGGTTAATTTAAATGAAAAAAATAAGGGGGGGATAACAGCATATCGGTTCAGCTCTTCTCGTAGAGACAAGTGTGCTGAGCTTGGAGATGGTCAGGTCCAGCAGCTCTGAATTTATGAGGATACAATGGCATTCCTTGGGACATATTGGCAACCTGCAACTTTTACTTGACAGCCTTTAAAAAAAGAAACAGTTCTTATTTGAAAGAAAAAAGCAAAATAGCCCCATTGTGAGGTTTGCCTGTGTCTTTTCTGTCACTGTTGCAGGTAGGTAGTCTCTTCCTGAAGCCTGTCCTAAAGATAGATTTGATAGAGTAGACCTTTGGACTATATGGGCGGGATAGAAATCTAATAAAATTAAATTAAAAAATAAATGGAGCCCTCAATTGCATAGTAGTGATGTTGGCCATTCCTTTCTTGGACCGATGGAATGAATTTTATTTTATTTTTGCACTTTAGGACTATTTAAAATTGGCTAGTGTTTGCTCCTTGAGTTTAAACTAGATAAAATGAATTGGAAAGATACTTCTCCCAAAGCTAATTCGATGTTCACTCTTCGTTATATCAACATTAAGCGAAATCTTCTTCTATTAATTAGAGCATGCTTACAGCTTCATTCTTAGTTCTCATGCATTGCCTGTTAGTTCTGGCCTTAAACAATAGGATATGGAACTATATCGATAATTGCAGGAACCCAATCATTACATGTTATCAACATTTCTGTTTAGACAAAAGCAGAGGCATCTGCAGTAATTGGGAAGCACACTCCTTTTGTGTGCTTTTTCCCTGCTCTTACATAAAAAAAAACAGTAGTAGATATTACAAGTCCTCCTATTGAAATACTGTAGTTGCAGCTCGCCCAATGGAATGGTTGATACTATTAACGCCTCTGGATCTGTAATGTAATCTTGGCCTTTTTGCTTTATTTCTGGTGTAGGTTCTGGAATTTCTGGCGATCCCATTAATTTCTCAATAGTAATGGGAATGCCCTGTGAAACAGAATGCATTCCAGGGTTAGGCAGTGCTGAAAACTGTGCAGGTGGAAATAATGCATTTTAATGCAGTTTATTTCCCTTCTTGAGGAAATGATGTATCTGGAATTCGTGCTGTTACTCTGTTTCTCTTCTTTTTAACTTAGTTGCTCCTTAGCACTTTCCTTAGTTTAAGCAGTGAGATTTAGCTGAATAGCTACAGTCTCTTCCATGTGAATGTGTAAGGTCAAGTTTGTTTGTGCGATGAATTCGAGCAATGCCACATAAATAACCTCTGTCCCATACCCTCTGGTGTGACCCTTCCAAGAAAGAGGTTCCTGTGCATTGACTAGTTTGCTGCACGTGCTACACAAAAGAGCCACTGTATAAGGTAAAAGCTCTGTAGCTAGTGCTTGAATTGCATCAATGTCCTTGTCTCCGAAGGGTCACTTTTAGGTCTTGATGCTTATGGTGCCTTCTTCCATATTCTACCCATTTGAGAGTCCACACCATCTGCTTTGTTTTATGCATTGCAGGAAGAGGCTTGCACTCTATTGCAGTGCATATGAGGATATGAGGATTAGGATTATTACTTACACAGAGGAGCTAAAATGTAATTTTTCTAAACAAACATTAATTTATATATGTATAATACACGGAACTGCAATTCTATATTTTATATAAGGAGTACTAGATAAAGCAAAATATATTTATTCTATCTAAAAAATTTTATCTGTTCTATTTTCTATTAAAATAATGAATTTTATTCTAAATATAATTTTTTACAGAGAACATTTTCTACTCTACTAAAATCTTCCCCTACTATCCTATATACTGCTAAAAGGCTCAGGTTTGGGTGTAACTGTGAATCGCACAAGCTGGATGTAGGAAGTGTGGGTTCTTAAGTGAAAAAGGAGAAATATATTCTTATTTCTTTTTTTTTAACTTAGTAGATATCATGGAAGTGTGACATTTTGAAAAAATGGGGTTCAGCCTGCTGACGATCATTTCCAGTTCCAGGATGCTGGCAAAATGTTAGGAGTTCAAGAAAAAGTTTTCTCCCAGCCTTGTCTTTGTTCCTGGAAACCACTGAGCATAGGATCTAATTGGGCTGCTTTGCATTTTTGGCTTTAGAACCTAATATTTCTGTGTACCGGAGGAGTCCAGTGGTGTTGAGAAATCGTTGCGTGGTAGCCAGAAACCATTTGCTGGATGGT